ATCCACCATTAAATTATGGACAGTTTTAAATGGTAATACAAGCCGACATTAACTATGAGATTTAACAGAATGTCTTAAAGGAGTCATGATGAGAGCTGGGATTATTTTACAGCAAGTGCCCTGCAGTTTTAAGATATAGTCTTAGTGTAAATTAAAGAAATACAGATTAAAAATGGTAATTTTATGTTTTCAAAAGAAATTTTCATTTAAACGGTGCCGGTCCCTTAAAAAATTACTGGTTAAACAAAGATTATCTTTGAGGATTATTTAATTGATATGATTTGTATATCTAGAACAACGTTAACCCTTCACAGGTCTCTGGAGCGGTGCTGAACTAAAATGACTACTGTGAATGCTTTTTAGGCTGTATGCACCCCCATATTTTTCTCTCTACAGGAGATGCCATAAGGAGAATTGAGAACCTAAAACTGTAAACTGGACAGATGGGACAACCAGTGAGGTATCAGTGTTATGGATGACTGAATACAAGTAAATATTGATGATCAGGAAAGACGCGATTCATGATTTTAAGTAATGACTATTGATTTTTCTATAATGAGATAAGCTAAATGTTTGAGGTTGTTTTGGATAATGAATTGGGCTGGAATATTGTATATGATGTAAGGAGCAAAAACTTTGCTAGATATTTGACTTCTAAATCACATACAATGTCCAGTGACAGAGTTACAAGAAGATTAAACCAAATCCATAGATGTTTTTATCTCAGGTAAGATTTTTACAAGTGCTAACAGAGTTGAAATACACTATTTTTTTCTTCTTTTTCACTATTTTTACTTATTTTTATTATTCTTTAACAAATACTAACAGAAAATATATAATAATGAATTCTAACAACTACTAACATGATTTAAGACAGCATTTTAGAGTGATGTTGTATAACACTTATAATGACTTGTGAAATTTGGTGCATGAAGAAAAACCGAAAGTGTTGCTGATAAAATACTAAATGTGATGACTCAATTCAGTAAAACTTGACAGGAATAGGATGATGGGTAGAAGGATGGACTCTGTCTGGCTGGTTGCCAGCAGGGTGTTTGTGCTGTTTGTGTTTGTTTCTTATCACCTGTTCAGGTTACCTAAGATGAAAAAGATCCAGGGAAGGTGAACGCAGGGAACACCTGTGTGAGTTTGTGATCAACGTTCCCAGAGTGGGGTCAGATGAGTATGAACCATTGACTTACCCAGAATGAATGATAATTGATAATTATATATTGATAATGAAAATTATAGAAATTTAGTTAGATAACTGGAGTTTTGTGATATTTGTGGGAGAAGAATGTTTGTTCTTTTTTCTTGATAATGCAGCTTCAAACGAGTCGCTGACGGAGAGGTGGAGAGTGCAATGACAGGGGTTTGTATGATGGAGGCCGGACAGATGTCCGAGGAAATGCCCCTGATGAGGGGGAATGGAATGGAGTGGAGTAGAGTGAAGTGGAGTGCCAGGGAGGAAAAAGTCACCGGTTCTACTCCCTGAACTGAGAACATCACGCACCAAATGAGGGTGTTATCATTTATCATGAATGAGGGTTCTTTCAGATTCATACTGATCTGGCTGACAGTTTAAGTAACATCAAATTAACATCACTTATCATTATTAACATCTAATTAACGTTACCAGCACAGTGAAGGGTTTTATATTTTCTGATTTTACTCTTAAACATATAGATGAGGAGCGTTTTTAAGATATATATATATCTTTAGCCAATTAAATACTGACACAATGAACTTACTGATTTTATTAAGCTATGAGTTAATAAATGATTATTGATAGACCTAGAGTTTTCGGATTTTTACATGTACTGAAATGATTATAGAACACTGTTTTGACATTACAAATATTTATAGGTTGTGTTTACAATGCTAATCAATTATTGATGTGATAATATCTAAAGCTAAGTCTTGGGGATTTTTGAAAGATAAATTAAAACAACTGCTATTATGGATATAAAGCAATATTTTGAAAGTAGAGTTACAAATTTCCTATCTGTTAATAAATCCCAAAACTGATTAGTTGAATGTGGGAGGAGAGAACTTACCATTTTTATTTGAAACTAAAATGATTTTTAGAGTAAACTTCAGGATGTTATAACTAAGTGGCCCCTCCTAGTAGTGTGTTACAACCCAATGGGGGGATGCCAAACACTGATGATTATTAAGGAAATTTAACAGATAATATGAAGCTAAGTTCTGGGTAAATTTTTAACAATTGAGTACAGATGTGTACTTTAGAATTATGGTTAATTTGAATGTTGAACTCAGCACTAATTGGGTGACAGGTCTTCTCCAACTACTTTGAGAGATGAGATGATTGATGGACTGACTAATTATGGGGTGGGTTTAATGTTAACGTTTACAATTTATTAACAGTATTATGGAGCTATATGATTTTTTTCCTTAAAATTAACATGGTTGAACAAGACACTTTTACATGGCTAAATATTACCTTTTAATTATTACTTGATGATTTGTTTATTTAATGACTATTTTATGTGTGAAAACATGGGTAAAAATTAAATTTTAATACGTTTTTTGCACATTTTAGGGGCTGATCATGATGAAATAACGCCACTAGATGGTACAATTGCAATGATAAACTTAATTTTTGACATTGTTTTCTATGAAATAACACATTTTTACAGCTGACGGCCATGGAGGAGAGACCAGAGAATTTTGATAAATACATATGAGGTTTTATAATATAAATTTTCCAGGGGGTGAACTTATGACATTTTTCAATCTAAATTGGGACTAAATTGAAGAGTGGTGAAATGGGTAAATTGATTTGCTGGTTAATTGGGAATGTTTTTATATTAGATCACCAGGGGGAGTTGGGAGGTTCTGTTATTTACATACATTTGCACGTTACAACACGTTAATTGTTTAAATTAGATTTTATTCACACAAACACATTTTTCAGCTGTGACAGGCTAAACATACCGGCAGCGCTCTGTGCAAATAAAATGGGGACAGCACGATTGAAAAAGGGAAGGGGGCACAGAGTTTTTCTTTTTTTTCTTTTTCAGATGGATACGATGGACCAGGCCTGCCCTTGGAGTCAAAAAGAGAAGTTCAGGATCTACAAACTGATTAACATTTTTTAGATAACGCTTTCTTGCATTAGGACACCACCTACAACTATTAAATCATATTTAGAGAACTGACTTAGACCAACGTTAGAAATTTCCATTGTTATTGCACCACACCAGGGAGATGCTGAATTCCTAGGCAGATGTCCAGATGCTGGGTCAGGCGGCCTGAGGGCTGGCAAGTTACACACGTTAGCCGTCAGCTCTGGCATCTTATTTGACCTGAGGTGGGTGGGTCACACGCTGTAGCCTGTAGGCATCTCCCGCCAACATATAAGGAGTAGTTTACATTCAACCAGAGGAAAGTGATTAATTGCTTGCTTATCTGGCGGTATTGAACTGGGAGTTTTTTTATGCGTCGGAACCCCTTCGGGGACCACCACCCAGGGGGAGTTATTAAGATATTTCCTGTTTCGACTGGTCCTATGTTTTTGATCTGCTCAGAGACGGGATTATAATGAAATTATGACCCAGTTCTGACTGGGTTAAACTGGGCCAGCAAACTCTTAAGAGAGTCTCCCTGATGATTCAATATCTGTCACAAAAATAGTTTAATCTGCTTGCCACATCACGTAGAAAGGCTTTGAAGCACCGTCCCATGTTTTTCCTAACACGTCAGTACACATAAGACCACACTTAGTCACGCCCCCTCATACACTGATAGGCTGAGCTCCCCTTCTGCGAAAGGAGGAGTCATAGGACCCCTTAAATTAGTAATGACACAGGACTTTGGGGCTCTTCCGGGTCTGTGTACGCAACACGGTCCGGAGAGTCCAGCGCTGTAAAACTGTAATCTTCTTCTGCCTTTTTTATATAATTGATAAAACTTAATTGACGTCTCATTGATTTATTTGTTAGCATGAGTTGCCACTTCTGAGGGAGGTTCGAGTCGGGGGTAAAGACGTGGGCTGGAGGGGGTTTCCGGATCTGGTGGCCCGCAGCCAGCTCCCGTCTTTAACAAGTCTCTCCAGCATGTCCAGGGTCTTCACCAGGGTCTCCCCCTAGTCAGACATGCCCGAACCACCTCAACTGGCTCCTCTAAATGTGGAGGAGCAGCAGTTACTCCGTGTCTCTCCTGGATAACTGAACTTCTTACCCTATCTCTAAGGGAGAGTCCAACTACCCTGCAGAGGAAACTCATTTCAACCTCCTGTATCCATGATCTCATTCTTTTGGTCACTACCCAGAGCTCACGACCGTAGGTGAAGGTAGGATTGTAGACTGACAGGTAAACAGAGAGCTTTTCCTTACAGCGCAGCTCTCTTTTCACCACAATGGACCGGCACAAAAATCCGCAGTACTGCAGACGCTGCACCAATCCATCTGTCAATCTCATGCTCTTTTCTTCCTTCACTCATGAACAAAACCCTGAGATACTTGAACTCCTCCACTTAAGGCAGAATCTCACCCTCGACCCGAAGAGAACAAACCACCCTTTTCCGACTGAGGACCATGCCTCTGATTCTCATCCCAATCACTTCACACTCGGCTGTGAATCGGTCCAGTGAGAGCTGAAGATCATGGCACGATGACCCAGCAGGACCACATCTTCTGCAAAGAGCAGCAATGGAATCCTGAGGCCACTGAACCGGAATCCCTCCGCCCCCTTGCTGCACCGAGAAACTCCTTACCCCTGAGTTATTATTCCAAATAATTTTTCTAACACAGTACTTCTTTATTATAGATTTTTTAAATTAAATAATTTGATCTCTCCATTAGAATATATAATATTTTATAGAATATTTTTACTCCATATTTTGGGATTTGAACATCATTCTCACAATCCAGCAATCTAATCCCAATTCTGACATAAAGTTTCACTAAAATCATTCGTCATTAAGTCATAACTCACCACTTGATTTGCAGATATGTAAATAAATACATTTTATACCTAAAGTAAGGTTGTCTTTAAATTTTTTCATGTTATTTCATCTAGCGTGAAAACTATAAGAGCAATAAACTGAACTACGTCTAACTTCCAATATTATTATTATTTATGTTTATGATCCTTGGTTTATTGTTATGACTATTTCTTCCGGTCTATTTTGCTCATCACGGCTTTGACATCAACTGGAACAGCGGCAGCTGCAGCCTTGGCCTTCTCCTCCTCCTCTTGCTGCCACAGGATGATGGGATGAACGCCTGGGCTCCGGCTCTGAGCATTTTGCTCCAGCTGGGCTGGACTGGATCAGAAACAAAGACAGGTTCAAGCTGACTGTGTTAGAGGTCAGAGGAAGTTTAATATACCAACGACAGGCCAGTTCAAACAAACATCACATTTATAACCACAACAAGCAACATTAGAGACATTTTAAAGCTATAAATACTAAAAATAAAGATTTCAGTGACTTTCAGAAGTCTCTTAGTCTTTTGCATTTTACACAAAAAGTGTCAAACTTTCTAATAGGTTTTAAAATGGTCCCAGTCAACAGCTTCCAGAGCTTCATGAAGGTTTTTCCAATTTTTTAATTATTTTGCTGCTTTTGAATCTATTTTCAGTCCAGTCCTTGGACATGACCGTTTACAAAACATACATATCCCGTGTGCATGTGTGACCAATATGCTTTACTCACTCACGTTCCATGAAAATCATGCATCTAGACATGATTTTTGGTCATCTTCATGTAATCACAGATGGGCTAACCTTTTCTCTAAAGAGAAATATACATTCTCTGCCCTTTTCCATTCGGACTGGAACAGCAGAATACTCATGTCTGGTCCTCCTGTTGCCCTAATGCCATGTTGGCCAGGGGTGGTGGCAGGGTTAAGAAAACCTGCATTTTTTAGAAAAAAGATATTTAAACACTAATCCTCTTCATCTGTGCCGCCTTCACGACGTTAGTATTCGTGTGTGAAGCTGCAGCAGTGAGGGGCTACTTGTATTCAGCAAGGGAGAAGGAAGTGGTGCGGGGCTGTGTGAAGTTGGACAGGCAAAAAAAAAGGAGAACTACATGGACTTTCAAGTCTTACAGTGAGAGGCAGAACAACATTAATAAAGCAGTGACTTATCATATCGCTAAAGACACGGTCCTTAGCAACTAACAAGATGGCTAAATTTAGCCGTCTTGTTCCACAGTTGAGACTGGGACCGTGTCTTTATCGATGTTATAAGCTGCTGCTTTATGAATATCGTGCCACCTCTCACTGTGCCTTTCATAGGGCACAGCATGACTAAATGCGTTTTGACCCGTGATTTGTTTCAGGGAAGTAGGCTGAAGTCTGTCGGACCTGCAGCTGCAGCTTCACACATGCTTCATTGCTCCCCTTATAGCTGTTTAAAATGGTGAAAAAGATTCATAGTGCTGTCTTTTTGTTGGGACTTGTTTTTGGCATTGTCTACAGAAAACATTTTTCTGCTGCTCATCTGACCATTTAAATCCAAACCATCTCCAAATAACAGCCATTGTTTTTCTTTCTGTTCAGCAGCTAAGCTGCTCTTCGATATCTCCTGTGTTTACTTGTGTTAAATTTCCCGCCCACCTGGAGAAGCAGGAAGTGGGGGGAGCACACGCAGCTGAGGGGCTGGTTTTGTATTCAGAGAGGAAGGAGGGGCTGTGTGAAGTTGGAGGCGCAGACGGGAGAAAAAGAACTACACAGATTTTCAAGTCTATTAATACTCGATGGTTGTGATAGAGTCATTTTAACCATCGTAAATTGAAAAACTTGTGATACATGGAGTATTTTCAATACATTGCCCAGCCCTACTTTGGACTGGACAGATTGCTGGTCCTGCATTATTCTCATTTTTTCTCTTTGATTTTTAGGTTTTAGCAAAACCATAAATCTCGTAAAAGCACTGGTCCCAGTTTTTAAATATAGCCATCTCAGCATTGTGTGATGTTAGCAAGTACCCGGATCTCAGACGAGCAGAACTTCGAGTACAATACCGCTGTTGTCGTGGTTTGATTTCATCAAAGACTATCCAATGCATGGTGAGACAATGGCATGCATCATTTTTCACAGACCCAGAATCACCATATATACTTTTTATCAATTCAGCACAGTTGACAGACACAGCTAGTCCCCGCAATGTCATCTTCGGTAAGGTTGACATGAACCAAAGCAGTGGATGAGGCGATTACTTATGCTGTCTGGAACATTGTTTGTATGACATCCAGGACTTTCGGGCTTTCAGGCAATACTTGTGACATCATTTTGGAACAGCGCCATTTTGTTGTACAATTTTTTTTAATTTTATTTTATTCAATTCACTTCAGTTTATTTATAAAGCACCAAGTCACAACAGAAGTCATCTCAAGGCACGGAACAGAAGCATTCATATATCTAAAAAAATAAGTTAATACTATGTATCTTAAGAGCAGCACGGTGGTGCAACTGGTAGAGTTGCTGCCTCCCAGCGAGCAGGTTACCCTGGTTCAAATCCTGGTCCGAAGGCCTTTCTGGGTGGAGTGCACATGTTCTCTCAATGCATGTGTGGGTTTTCTCTGGGTACTCCAGTTTCTTTCCACAGACCTAAAACATGCATGTTAGGTTGATTGGTAATTCTAAATTGTCCCTAGGCGTGAGAGAGGATGGTTTGTCTTTTTTGTCTCTGTGTCCCTGTGATGGACTGGAGACCTGTATAGGTGTCTTCCGCTTCTCGCACAGTGATGGCTGGACATGAGCACCAGTGACCCCCGCGACCCAAAAAGGAAGAAGCAGGTAAAGATAATGGATGGATGGATATTTATCTGAGGAGCAGACTGCTTTGATTTTAACTCCATCACATAACTCTCATCATTACATTACATTTACAGTTTTTACTTTTAGAAAAGTCTTATTTTCAAGCAGTAAAATCAGAGAAAAAAACTTGTCTGTTTTCTGCTAGAGTCATTCTGCCTTGAAACTTCCTCTGCTGGATTTCTGTATGAGGTAAATGGTAAATGGACTGTACTTATATAGCGCCTTTCTATCTTATCAAGACACTCAAAGCGCTTTACATTATGATCTGTGTCCTCATTTAGCCATTTATACAGCACTCTACTAGATCTCTACAAAGCTAATTGAACAAATCATTCTTAAAAGACTAATCAGTGCTTTTACATCACATTCATACACTGATGGGACACACATTGGAAGCAATGAGGGATTCAGTGTCTTGCCCAGGGACACTTAGTCATGTGACTGCTGGTGGATTCGAACCCCCAATTCTTGCACTGGAGGACAACTGCTCTAACCACTCAGCCACAGCCGCCCTTCATTTAGGGCCTTAGAGTGGACCCTGTCCCCATCCTGTAAATATTCTTGGAAAGCCTGATCAGAGGAGAGGTGGTGGAGAACTGTGTCTCATTGAAGACGCAGACCCCGGCTTGTGGGCCATGGACTCATGGAGACAGTGGGCCGTGAACTGCAGTCCCTCCACCTCAATGTATTTTGACTGTTTTCGGGTTGAAATCCTCCTTGTCTGGTATGCTAGAAGAGCTTTTCATGGTAATTTGAAGCTAGCATGCAGATAGATGGTGTCAGTAGGTAAGAGTGGACTTTGGATCTCATGGAAGGGGCTGAATTGGCATCAGGGTAAATAACTGGCTGATTTGTGATAGTAAATCGATAGTAAATATGGATGACGGGGTCTGCATGGGCACGTTCATACAGGAGTCCCCTGGTTTCCTCAGTTCCTAAACGTTGACAGTTGTTATAAGAAAAGGGAGAACCATGAACTGTCAACATGTTAGAGATGTGTTGCTGCTATCAAATTAAAAATTACTTTATTTATTCTTAAAATTGTTACAATTTCTTAATTTAAACACTATGTGTGAATGCTTTACACATTTCTTAGAACGGGGTTGTAAATTTAAAAAGCACCAAAGACAGGGTTCTGAAGTCATAAAACATTATGTAACTGATTTAGGTTGTTAGATTTGTGGTGTCCAACACAGCATTACCTGAAGTTATGGGGTTCAGGGTTCAGCGCCTTCTTCTGGATCTCCTTGTATGTTGGTGACTTGAGGTAACGGAAGAAAGTGTCCTGTATCCATAAAAACAATTGATGAGTTAGTTGAAAGTCAGCTAACAGTTTGTGTTACTGCCAGGTGCACACATTGGCCTTGTCATGTTATTTCTCTATTCTATTAAAAGTTATTTGCGATGTGTGAAAACTCCTAATAACTTGAAAAAATAAATGTTTATTATGTTTTACACCTACGGATGTGGCCATTATTTTACCAGTGCAATGCATTCTGGGGCGATCGGTTATAGTGGAGACTGAACCAGTGGGAGTCAAGGTTCAAAAGTTATAACATGACAACAAAGTTACATTTTGTTTTAGTCACAATATAAGGATTAAAACAATTATCAACTTATGTTTATTTATCATCTATCTATCTATCATATACATATATATATATATATATATATATATATATATA